GTTCGTCTGGCACCCACATATCTACCTTTTTTAGTTAGTTAGATCCGCTTTCATTCGTCGTTGTCGACTATACTCACCGGCCCACTCCCAAACAGCTACGCGAGTGGCGTGCCACGATGGCTCTTTGGTAATTCCGGCTGGAGGCTCCACATGCTGGCTTTCCCGCCGTGGAGGCGATTCAGCCAGGCATCGTAGAGACGGCAGGGCAGAACCATTGGACCTTTCCCATCGGACTGACGTAGTTACTTCCCGGGCATGCCTGCCACCACACCACACAGAGAAACTATAAAATATTAACTGAATTTTACATTCCCTTGAACATTTTTAAAGACATGTTGAAGTTAGTATGAAACAAGTTACAGTTTAATAATATGAACTTTTGTTAATATAACATTTATAGAGGATGACAGCTTTACAGTGTCCTTTGAAAGTCTTGTGCAGTTATTCGTATTATAAATGCTAGCAGATTTTATCGTGGCCCCTTTAATAAAACTTTCTCGATGTAAAAGTTTTGTAAGTTACGAGCTAAGTACTGAAAGGTTTTAACGTCTGCAATTACAATTTGCAGCTTGCTTTTATAAATTGTGGCGGGTGAAAATTATAAGCAATCTTCTAATTGTAGAGTGTTCTGAGATAGTTGAGCGTGGCGTTAAATAATTTCTTTTTTACTATATGAAAAACTTTAATAAAGTATTTATTAACTATAGTATATCATAAAACTCATCTATCTATAGTATACTTGTCGACCAAAGGTTGCCTGTAAGTAAATGATTTTTAGCGATAAAGTCGCCATTGGTGTACAGGTGTACAATAAAGTTTTATCCTATTCTATTCTATCCTATCCATCCTATACCATACTATCTCATACCATTCCATGCTATTCTATTCCATTCCGTATTTCAAACGATTTGACACAGACAATAAATACTCAAACTGCAATAATAAATTACTAATACAGAAGAGCTTTAAAAGTAGGGCTGATTGTAAATCAAATACAAATAAAAAAATAGAACACCACAGGAACACTGAAATTTGTTCACATTTTTTCAGGGAAATAGAATTCTCACTAAAGTCCGTACTTTCTTTTCTCAGTAATATAAAAATAATTGAATGTTCTCAAAGTAACCAATTAGGATACACTACATTTAGTAAACATATTTATTATAAAAACTTCTTATGGTTTTGTAAATAAACTATTTTTATTGCGAAACCTTTATATTGGCTTTGGTTTATAAAGTTTTCTTATTTTAATTTTTTAAACAAGAAATAATATAAAATAATATCAGTTACACTTTTTCAGTACACGTTTAGCTCAACTACATACCCTAACTTCTCATTGGTGTCAAAATCAAATATGTAGTCTATTTTGACCTCGAGGTGTTGAAAACTCCTTTCATGTTGTTATGTGTCAGTTGGCAAAGTGATCCAGACGGTATTTCCATACTTTAAAGGTTGACGTTTTCCAGTTGGTATTCCCAATATTTGTAGCTATTTTTATATATTATTCTTACACCAGACTTGTGGTATTTAATTTACTTGTTCAACCATGCGTGTAGTAATTTGATTTAAATTGCTGTCCGTTCAGTGATCTTTCTGTTGTTTCACATGAAATAAGACATTTTATGTTACTAGTAACTTTTTAAATAATTATATTCAGGGGATTGCTACATTAATACACATTTAGAAAAATCCGTGAACCGACTGATTTTGAAAAATTAGTCCATTTTAGTTACTTTTATAGTACACTACACCGATATTCAAGGTATCTCCGAAAAGAGCTATCCGCAACACATACATAATATATATGGCATATTAGTATAATATTATATTTTTCATTCAACAAAGATATTAAAATTTAATTTAGAATGATATGTTGAAATAATTTCATAGCAATTTTTAATACAACTAACATCTAGTGTCGACACGTTAGTAACTTTGTGCATAGAGAATGCATCTGTTTCAAATGTAGAAATGAAATGGCCTGAACAACTACAGTATGTATAAATCACAGTTTTTAGTTAAATCAGTAAAACAGCTCAAAAATAGAAACTTATAAGGATTGTGAAACGAGTATTGAGATACCTGTAACATTATCAAACTACTAGTCATATAATTATTACCGCTGAGCTTAGGAAACCACTGACTGGTGAGTACTTCGATGAGTAAATTATCACATATTCTGTCAATTTATCAAAACATAATAATATGTATGTAAACTTCAGATCTTCCATAAAATCCTCGTTAGACCTAACGACAGAAGTGTAAGGAGGACAAAATTAATCTTGTTACCTGGATTGGATATAGGTACACATAGAATTAGGTATGATTACTTGATGCATATGCACAGAAAGCTCTCGTACCATTTTTATCGTGACGGGGTTTAAAGTCTTCACTCTCCTATCTGCCCATCACACTATTCTGTCTTTTTTACCTATCCGTATTAGTCACAAGACTTTTGATTCATATATTTTTTTATTTATTAGAATATCAGTATTAAGTTTTATATTAAAAATAAATAAAACACAAATTATACTTAGATTAAGCTTTTATTAATCATTCACATTGTACGACCATGTACATAAATAGTTTAAAATTTAAAATGGCCAGAGGACTAACGAAAATGTATGAGGCTGACAATCACTTCTTATAAAACACCTAATTGCCGAGTTCAAAACTATAAATACAAAAAACTAGCTCATATTGTCTCGATTTATTGCAAACCCGGCTGAGTAAATAAATATAATTGATTAAAGTGGAATATAATATATATATATATATATATATATATATACGAGTATATATAAATATATAATATATTAGTTGAGTAATTTGGTTCATACATTAAAATGAAAGTTTTTATTTTCATTTATTGAAAAGAATTCAATAATATGTACATATATTCAATTTTACGAGATAGAAACGGACAAGTGAGAGCATTTATTATCCTACGAAATTAAATATCGTCCGAGCTTGTTATCAAAACGCTGAATAACTTAAATAGGTACTAAAATTTAAGTAAAAGAAAATATTGCTTTAACGGAATAGCAAGTCCCTGTGAATCTCTTACATTTATAAGTAGTAGCTGAATGGCCATTGAATGTTAAGTGAGAGATCTTATTAAGTCGTTCATCCACAAGAGACAAACTTAACAAACTTGTTGTGAGAAATAAGTCATTTATAAAGTCAACAAATAATATAATTTACAGATAATATTTTGTATCACTGAATGGAAAATCTTAATTTATCATAAGTTAATTAAAAAAACTGAAAGGTTGTTAAGTAAAAGTAACTAAAACGAGATTTGTTTGTAACGCGAAAGTTTTGTTACTTTGCTTTACAATGTTATAAACGATGCAAGATCGCGATACACGATTTGAATTTCCATTGATTGTGTATAAAACTGTTAGTGTAGAACAAACACATACTTAAGTAAAAAGAAGAAAGCTTTACTGTTTTTCATCAAACTAACGCTACTAAGTATGATTATTACGGCACGGTTGAGAGATTTCGGTCGAAGTAATTGCCAGCCATATTTCATGGATGTTACCTAAAACATCTAAATGTATCTATGTTACATGATTCATATAATTTCATCTATACAATAGCACATAAATAATTAATCTATTTTAAAATATATTTCGCTTCAATATACACATTTTCTTAACTTATCACATCCTTTAGCCTAACAAATAAACTTTCTACAATAGTCAGTGTAAAGAGCTGCAGGAAGACTTTCAACGCCAATAATGGAAGACTGAAGCTTCTTTAAGAAACATATTAATTCGATTTTCCACGATAGTGTTTCCTCCTTTCACTATATAATGTAATATTAAATTTAGTTATATTCTCCGAACGAGTACTGTTATTTACTTTACCACAAAGAGGAAAATTGAATTATTTCGTAAACAAGTCTAATCTTCCAATGGCAATTACGCTTAAATATTATCATAATATAACCTCTGCTTTACAGCGTAACACTAATCATATCGAAAATATTCTGCTGAAATATATTAGACAACAATTTAATATCTCAAAATATGTTCGTTCTCACTTTAAAAATCACCTACTAACATGACCTTCGAACGAAAAAATTATCATGTGACTTTTATTTTAAGAATCTCACTACTACAAATGCAAAAAAACTGTGATAACAAATTACAAAAAGAGAAGATGAAACGGAGTAAGCATCAAGTATGTGTATGTCGTTAGTAATATGCCCATGGGAGCATATATTGTTATATTACATAAATATTTCTTGGTGACCTTTATTCTAATAAGGTAACACAACACTAAAAGCAGTAGCGAGGAGTATTTTATTTCACGAGATCCAGCAATTTGAGATTGTTGTTGTTTATTTTGTTTTCCTTCACTGTGAACTTTGTTTTTAAAAGATCTTTTTGTCGATCGAATAGCATTGGTAGTGTATTCGATGTCTATCTTATTATATTTATTGTGTTTATTTTATAAATGTTTATTTTTTCGCTTTTTTCTATGAAATATTTCAGAAATAGCAACCTTGCATAAAAATAGCGACAGTTTCGGTTTTCTTGGGAACCCTGTAGTAACTAGGTATATAATTGACGTACAAAAAGCTCAGGAAGAAACAGGATACATTTTAGGATAGATAACGAATTCGATAACACAGTAACAGTTTAAACTCTAGTTACATTTTAACGTTAATGTGTGAATACAGTAACATATTATTATTAATTAATATTTCCTTTTATTTATATAAAATCTGAAACAAGTATTTTTTTTAATTTTACTTTATATCAGGTTGGTTTATAATAAAAGAGTACAGTAATATAAAATTGTAAAAATTTAGCAAACAAAAATTTATAGGACAACCATTTACCTTGAAAGTGAGACGAGAAAGCTTAAAGTACACAAATTTTATTTATTGTAAATAAAGGGTTTCTAATAAATATTAAAACTACGAGCTATAAGCGCCTTACTAGGTAAAATATATGATCAGTAAAAGTCGACATTGATACCATCATTTAATATAATTGGTGTGTTAATTCACGTAGCATAATACCACAACCTAGGATCCAGAGCGGGTTTGGGTGTAGGCAGCTGGAGGTGGCATTGGCGTGAGTGGTAGCAGAATATGGCTTCTTCAGATTTAGTTCATTTACTGCCACTGCAACCAAATTAAATTTTATTAAATTATAATTTAAAACACTTTATTTATCTATATGCATACAAGTAATATTTTAAAACTCTTTAAGTCAAATCGAGTCGAACGATACGTGTGATGTAAGTAAAATATATGTTTTCTTGTCTTTTTCAATATCATAGATGAGTTTTAAATAGAACTAAAATAAAATATTAAGGCGAAATTAGCCTAATAGAAATAATCGGATTGTCCAATGTACCTGCTACAGTTTGCTTTTTAATATCAGCGTACTTTTCTCCTGGTCCTACTTCATCGGGAATTGTTGCAGTACAAGTCAGTTGCAGTCTGCCGTGTGCAGGAGCCTTTAACTCAGCTATCGATACCCACAATGAAATGGGTATGGCTGGTGGAGATCGCGGTCTTTCTTGGATCTGTCAGCAAGTTATGTAAATATAATATTATACATAGGCATGTATTTCAAACAATGAATATGGCTAGATATTTAACACTCTTAATGGATTGTGTGTATAATTAAACAGAGCAATATAAATGACGAGTATTAAAAACAACACATGTACAAAACAAACTAAAGTAGTACACTCAAAAATAACTGTCGCGTCGATATTTTCAACGAAAATGAAAACGCCGGCAACGCACCCGTGTCTCTTAAATTGCAGGTGTTCATGGGCGTCGGTAGTCACTTTCCATCTGGTGACCCGTCTGCTCATTAGCAATAGAAGGTTTATTAACATAAGAAATTAAAAAGTAACGTTTAAAAAAATTGAGGTATAATCAGTAGTAAGCTTTGTTTTTCCTCACTTCTTTTTCCAATTTTAAATTCAGTATATTTAAACCAAATTTCATAGGGTAAACCTTGAGAAAAAGTACCAGTAACTTAGTTTAAAAAAATATCAGTTTAACAAAGAGCAAAGATATCGGGTAACATAACATACATATAAAATTTGTGAATCATATTTTTTATACTATTATAACCAAAGCAACTAATTAAACTAAAGAATTAAACGAGAATACTTTTAATCATATTCTGAGTAAAGTTGTTATATTGGGCAAACTTCAATAAAGCATGTAACTTTGAAAACATTTCTTAAGAAGGTTCCAACAATCAAATATTCCTCAACTCTCTTAACTAGAAGGAAATTATTAACGTAACTCCCATTGGGCTGACAAACTTGATAAATTTTCCATCGGCACCAACACTACGAGAATGTTAAAAATATTCAAATCGGACAAAAAACAGTTTTGTAAGTAATCGGTGTTGCTAAAATAAATATAAAAATTAAATTGACCTGTAAAAAAAGCAGCAGGAACTTAGTACGTGAAATTTTGTTAGATGTTAATTTGCCCACCCGCTCAATTATTTTTTGTAAGCGTCTAGAAAAGTATGATTTTCTAATTAACGGTAGCCATACCCATTACTATATGCTTCGTGTAAAAAACACTTCATAATGTTTAGATAAACGAGTAAACAAACATTTATTTGTAAGCACTAGATTATTGTTGCTATATCTTCAAGTAATAATTAAATAGAAGGTAATTGCTTTTTATTAAATTAAATAATCTTGCATTAAACTAATAAACAAAGCAGATTCAACTGGTTTGCTTCTTTCTTGTCTAAGATAAAAAATCTTTATCGATCGATCGACTGTTTGCACAACTATGTAACAATTTCGTGTTTTTTTATTTTACAATAAGTATCTTATTTTTTAAAGTAATAAAAAAGACATCAATATCTCTGAACTATGTTTCTAATTTTAGGCTATACAAATACTAGTAAGTTGAGAACTAAAAAGCTTGCTATTCATGAAAAAAAAATTGAATATTTGTTTCTCAGAAACTAGTAAATATTTTATGAGTACGTTAAGTAAAGTTCACTAGTTACAACTTCTTAAGTTGAAAATATTGAAGTTAAATACGTATGCGGACCCTTTTTATAGGGAATTCATTTAAATCAATTTAAAAGGTATGAGGACAAGTAATGTTGAGATACAAAATCAGTTGTCAGTGAGCCCAATGGATTTTGGAGTAATATTTTCGTTTGTTATTTATTTCACGACGCCCGCTTTGATTTGTTCTTTATCTGTAACATTCATTGCGATCTTTCAATTCTTTTTATTTACAATCACAAGAGAAAAAGTTATTCTCACAGTGTTAAATAATGTATTTATTTTACCAAACAAATCACCCGGAAATTTACAATCTATTACAACTTTGATAACGATAAAACTCTCAATTTTACTTGAGACTACCGTACGCTGATTCGAAACTTATTTTGTTTTTGACCTTTTATGTGTTTTAGTTTTGAAAAAAACGGCGTGAGGGGTCTATGGACCCCCGGTTGGAACGAAGTTCCTTTTGCTTTTTGGTAGACGTATAGCAAGAAGTGTCGGAAAAAGTCTTGTTACACATTTTTCGGGCTCGCTTCTATACATTCGGAGCGTGCAACGCGCGATAAGGAACTTCGTTCCCATATATAGCTAAAAATAAAATTTAAAGAAGCAACAAGACATCTTTTGCAATGAGAATTCAAACCTTTGCCATTTCTTCGCTCTGTGCTTCTTTCAAAGAGCATTTATGATGTTTATTACTGTTTATAGGTGGCGTTTGTGTAGTTTCACTCACTAACGCCCAATATTTTGCCGTGTGATTGAACTCCGGAGCTATATAGCGATGTTGATGTTTTCTGTGGCGATATCCACCTCCTCCTTTAGTTCGAGTTGAGCTTGATACACGATAAGAGAAGTATCTCACAGATTCTTCATCGACCTAAGTACAAAATACGAGTTTACAATGTTTTGCTAAGTCGTTACGTAGAGACCTTTGTATGAGTATATATTAGTGAACTATGTAGAAAAGGATTACACGTACGGGTACAAGATTTCCACTATAGTACGGAGGAGACAGGATATGCTATCATCACACCATAATGAAGGTTTCGTCAAAAGTTATAATTTGAGAAATTGTTCAGAAGTCGTCTAACCAGTCTGTACTATATTTAAATATTTACCTTTTCATTGTCAATATACCATGTGAGTTTCGGTGCGGGCGCTGCAGGCGCACTCGTACAGTTGGCGCGGAGTAGACCACCCACCACTACATCCGGTTTTCCGAACGTTATTATCGGTGGATGCTTTTGCGGATCTGATAATCAAAATTAAACACGGGTTTAGCTTAGTTTTAGGGTCTTAAATTACTATTTTGATTTAAGTATTTGTCTCTACATTATTGTAAAAATAAATTTCAGTCGCCTATGTAGAATTGGTACATGTTAATTTAAAATCTATGTACTCTGTTTTTCAATTTTATTTTTAAGTCAGGGTTTGGTTACTTGGTTTATTTATACTTCATTCTCCGTTCTATTTAGTTTTACGTACCAATTTAAAATACAATAAATAAATGTTTTTTGTGAAAATTCTGTTTAAGTGTCATACTCAACTAACGGATATATTTTAAAGTACAATCGGGGTGCGTCAAAAGCTGTCTAAAATATCTATACAGATGATGAATATTAGATATATGCGTATGGCCCTGAAACTAAATAACAATCAACTGTTTGGGTGCTCCGAGATGAGCCGAACCCAACAAAAGTCATTCGTTCAAAAAGCACTTTGAAGCAAATGGTCGCTTTTTTTATATAAATGGATATGTGGCTACAGTGCCTCTACAGGATCATAAAACGGTTAATTCTGAATGGTACATAACCATTTGTTTGCCAGAAGTCTTTGAAGAAATAAGAAAGAATAACCGACAACGCAGAAGCCTTCTTCATCATGGCAATGCTAGCTGCCACACATCGGCCGAAAAAACTCCGTATTTGGAAGATCAAAGGATCGAATTCACGGGTCATTCGCCGTAGAGAGAGAGGCTGTTGATGCGTTCAAATTGCACGTTTTGGAGATACCACAATCAGAATGGTAAAAGCGTACGAATATTGGTTCTAACGTGTGCAAAAGTGCATCGATCATCAAGGCCTACCTTGTAGTATATTCTGTGGGTTCAGCTGTTTCCTTTTGTTGTCAAGGAAACAGTACACAGTGCACCAATTAAAGTGGACAGGCGTCCACCGCCGCCGTCGCCAGGACTTCAAAAAGAACGGCGGTACTTTGAGCAAAGTTAAAGATGATCTTGGTTACGTAAATTACGCCATAAGTGCGACTGGCATTATGGCGCTCGAATGATGGAAACCCAATTGAAAGGCGGCCATTGCACATGAGTCTGTCGCGACTTTGTGCCATCATCTCCTTCTCGGTGACGAAGGCAGTGAACTAGCACCCTTACGTTCTATTCTACGTAGGGAAGTAAGTTTTTTCTACTGCATGTTTATATATAAATTTGAATCAATATAAAGACCCTGACAAATATAAATGTAATAAAAACTTCAAAATCAACGATATGGTTAAGTTTAAATTATTATTTCTTTCCATTGTATTAAAACTTCCTTTTAAATAAAGACATTATTTTAATTCATATCCACAATGTGCTAGGTTATCAATAATAATAGACTGCTTATCGAACTATCAAATATAAAACAAATGAATGAACTTTAGCAAAGCCTTTAAACCTCCCTTTTTTTTCCGTGCAGAAATCCCCTCGGATACCACCGATATCGGTGGCATGTCAGACTCGAACCGACTAAAACCGCATGCCGCCTCGGGTTCTAATAGCCGGGGAACCAGGTATACCCTAGAAAGAAAGTCCCTGGTGCCCCGACATACCTCGGGCCATCTATAACAAGCAGACGACACCCCCGTGTGGGAACCCCATGTTCCCTCTGCTCCCTGGAAGCGAGCGCACTTTGCAACGCGCTCGCCTCCACCCCGGCCTGCTTCTGCTAGAGTGACAGATGGCTTCACCTGTCACCCCCAGGCCTGCGCTTATGGAAGACGGAGATCGCTCTGCGACCTCCGGCGCCTGAGTCGCCTGCGGTACCTGGCCCGTTCTCTGGCCTGGCGGGCCGGGAGAGTTCTAAACCTCTCCCGGTAAAGCCTTTAAACCTCCCTAACATATTTTGTAACACTTACAGTTTTGCATAGTAGTTACAAAAATATATATTACTAGACAATATATACATTTACCAGAAAATACTTTATTCTTGAGTGCAAATCCGCGTAAAATTAATATGTAAATAAGATATTACGGTATTGTAATCTGACTATAAATGCATATTTCTAAAAAACGTGCATATGGTGTAACTTGATACAGTTATCCGATTTAATCCAATCCAATCTAATTGGTGGACACTAAGACTAAATGAGTCACTTAATGTAGTTTTAGATGGCATGTTATCCTAATGGTGATAAAGATTACTGTAAGACGTCGAGTCTTACAGTAATCTTAATTACATATCGAAGAAATATCTCTAGGGCTAAAATATTATTCTATTTGTGTAGTGCTTACACAGTTGTAAAGTAATTGATCCATTTAAGATTTCACAAATAAAAAACCGAAGACAATTTTTCATTTCCAAGCGTAACCAAAAATCAGGTGCAAACCGAAGGGGTGCGTGGTCCGGAACCTCCTTGTGGTGCACCCTGGGCAACGGAGACGGCAGCGCCTCTCTCCCTAGGTGGGGGAGGCGCTGCCGCCTGCGGCCAATTCCGGCCGAGGTGGGAACGGCCCGTCAAGGGCTGTTCGGAGGGCTGCTTTCCGCATGTCCCTCTGTTTGGCAGAGGGCATAGGGGAGAGCGGGCTGGGGGCGGACGGGTCCACTGCCGCTGGCTCTGTCCAGAGGTGGTGGACACTGGTCTGACGCAGACCACCGTCCGGCCATGTAGTAACCCTGACTGGCAACAGTCAGGAATGACGGCTCTTCGAGGGCTACGAGGAAGGCAACCTCTATAAAAAACCCTGGGGCGGACGGACCCGGTCTGGTGCAGACCCCGTCCGGCCCAGCCGTAATCCTGAATGGACAGGACCGGTGGATCTTCGGATCCGCGAGGACGTAAACCTCTATAAAAAATGCTCTAAGCCCACGTTCTGACGCCTGGCAAGGGGCTGAGTCGCTGGAGGGAGTCCAGTGCCGAAGGCGTCCCCGTCGAAGGACGTTAAACTAAAAAACCATGACATGAGGCCAAAGATTATTAAATCTACCCAGGAGGGTCCCGGACACACAGTGTCTGGGGAATCCCTCCCGGAGCCAAACGGCTGGGGGGAGCACCAAATGTCGAACCTGCCCGTCGCCGAGCAGTAAATCCGGCGACGTTATCGCGGAGGACGCGAAAAACCTGGAGGTAGTGTCGAACACCGACACTGCCTCGGAGAGGAGCGGAGCGAGTACCCCGATGGTCTCAGCTGCAGAGCAGCACCAGAAGGGTACTCCAAAGCGCAAAAGGCGCTCGCTTCGCCTGGGCCTGAAGAGGCAATTGGAGTCGGCCTCGAGCGATGAGGCCTCGGCTCCCAAAGTCGGCACAAGCCGCAGAGGCGCTCGCGGCGGAGGCCGACTCCCCAAGGCCATGGTGGCCCGGAAGAAGGTGGCGGTCCAGCCCGCGGCGCTGGGAGGAGCCGAAGATGGGGGTCTGGGACGGAGAAGAGAGGAGGGGGTCGCGTCCGAGATGTCGACCACTGATGTGGGGAGCGGGGGTGGGGGTGCTGGCCTCGTTGAGCTGCGAGGCAAAACCGGCAACCCCGTCGACCGGATCGAGGAGGCAATCGGCGAGGCCGACTGCTTGCTTCGGACGTCCGGGTTGGCCGGGGGCCCCCAACAGGAGGCCCTGGTAGCGGTCGTGCGCTCCATAATTGAGGCGGGCAGACTCCTCGTGGCCGAGAGCAAGGCCCACGCTAGGGAGAGAGCCCGCCTCGAGGCGGATCTCGCACAGGCTCGTGCCCACGCTAGTGCCACACCAGCGCCTTCGGCACCGTTGGCGCTGTCCGCCCCGGAGCCGGAGCCGAGCTTAGTCCGACTCATAGCGGAGATGGAGGAGCGGATAATGAGGCGCATCTCCGCTGTAGAGAGCGCCCGTTGTCGCCCACCTCTGGCTCCGCCAAGGGCAACCTATGCGGCCGCTGCCGGGGCGGGCCTAACAGCCCAGCCAGCAGCTAGGGTGGCTGGGCCGTCATCGGCCCCCCCGCCCCAGAAGGCCGGAAAGGGCAAAGGGAGGGGGAAGGCGGCCCCACCTCAAGCCCCAGTCTCGGCCCCGGCTGACACCGCACAGCGCCCGTTGGAGCGGGGCTGGACGGTGGCCGGGGACAGCAAAAAGAGGCGGAAGGCCGCCAAAAAAGCGGCCAAGAAGGCGAGGAGGGACGCCGCCGCCGCCGCGAAGGGAGCGCCGAGGAAGCTCCGCCCCCTCGCTCCTCGGCCGTCGTTATAACTTTGACGGCGGAGGCAGCGGAGAGGGGCGTGGGGTACGCCGAGGTCTTGACGAAAGTCAAGGCCAACGTGGACCTCAAAGCCCTCGAGATTCCGGGCGTCCGGTGTAAGAACACACGGACGGGAGCCCGGCTCCTCGAGGTAGCCGGCGCTACCAGTGGCCCCAAAGCCGATGCCCTAGCGGCTAAGCTGAGGGAGTCACTGGATGCAGCTGACGTCCGAGTGTCCAGGCCCACTAAATGCGCCGAAGTCCGCATCACGGGCCTGGACGACTCTGTCACGGCGGACGAGCTCAGACTCGCCGTGGCGGAGACGGGAAGCTGCCCTCTGGACAGCGTGAAGGCCGGAGCAATACGCTACGGCCCCGGTGGACAGGGGGCAGCGGTTGTCAGCTGCCCCATCGCGGCGGCCCAGAAGGTCGCCGATGGACGGAGCCTCCTGCAGGCCCGACCGGCAAGGTGCTTCAGGTGCCTGTCGGTGGGTCACGTAGGGGTGCACTGCACGGCGGAGGCCACCGTAGGTGACCGATGCTTCCGCTGTGGCCAGCCCGGTCACAAGGCGGGTGGCTGCAACGCTCCGCTGCGTTGCTTTAGGTGCGCAGCGGGGGGCAAGCCTGCCGACCACCGGGTTGGTGGTAAGGCCTGTGCCCTATCGCGACCGAAGCCGGGAGGCCGACCTTCCGCCTCCGAGCCGCTGATCCAGACGGAGAGTGCCGCTGGACAGCCGCAAAGCTCGCTGCGGGATGCGGGGATGGAAGTCCAGTGATGGATCCACATCTCCGCATCCTCCAGGTGAACATAGGCCACGGTGCCGATGCTCAGGATCTTCTGCTCCA